TTGTATATTCTGGCTCATTAGCAAAGAAAGCAACAAGCTCGTCATGAGAATCACCCGACTGAACAAGTACAATGAAGGCAAGAAGGCATATTTTACTATACAGTCTTCTTAAATTAGAAGAGTGAAAGGCACGAGCATATCTGATCCTGGTCAAAAGTGAGAATCTAAGCTCAGGAGGTACATCATACAGCTCAATGCACTGTTTCAACACCGTCAAATCATCTTCCTTCTTTAAATGTAAATCTGGTATGTGTATAACGCTGGAATTAGAAGAGCTTGAACTTGAACTGCTTTCATCACTACTTTTGGCACCACAACCATGCAACTCAAAATATAGGCTCGAACCTATCCGGTACTGAGCATTATTAGTATCATTTTCAACATCATGTGGAAATAAACAACGTCCTTCCTCTCGGGTTATCTCATTTGCAACAACACATGAATATAAACCCAAGCCCTCTTCCTTGCTTCCCCATCCCTGTGCGAGAGAGAGAAGATAGCTATTTACAGAACCACAACCAATCAACTTCCCTCTTCCATGAAGCTTCGAGGGATTTATTTTAACAAGGGCAGAAAGAGTTTCTAACGCAGCAATAAGAATTTCAGGATCCGTTGATGCAAGTAGAAGCTTGAAATACTGTTGGAGGAAGAAAGAAAAAACAGAATTATGAAGAAACTCAGGACTTATAATAAAAGGTAGTAGAACAATCCTAAGATAGAGGCAAAATAAAAAGTTTTACTAACCAAAATGTGAAAAAGCACAATGAATCAACATCATCAGCATAACATACCTCCAATCCATCAAGGGATCCCTTGTTGTGGCAATTCTCTAATACTATCTGCATGACACGCAGAATCTGTAGAATTGCATGTTTGGGAAATGGGCTATCATCTTCTAAAATTTTATCAGACAAGAGGTCATTCCTACAAGATAAATATGTCTTGAAATATGTATCAAAATGCAGAAATAGAGGCCTCCAATGATGATAGTTACCCTGAAACCCGAGGAAACAAGTCTTATATTGGATATCTGAAATCATTCAAGGAACTAAAACTTCATGTTACAAAGTATCCACAATTTACCACCTTATTGTATTCCCATCGAAAACCAGAAAGATGTATTGCTATATCATGCAATGGACACTGGATCACCTTATCAATAAAAGCTTTGATTTTTGGAGGCTGCAAAGCAACATATAGACCAATCGTGTCACCAAAAAAAAAAAAAGGATAATAGATTAGATAGAAAAGAGAGCGAAGAGTTTTTATTTTGATGAGAAACCAAGCTATCATGGAGAGAAAATGAAAGAACACAAAGGCCATAAAAAAAATAGAGCCCTCCAAAAGAGGCCAAACGATTAACAATACCAAAGAAAAAAAGCCTCTGGTTCAAAATAACAAGGCCTAGCAGAAAATTATAAATAAAAGAGAGCAGTGTGAGCCAAAATGAAAGGGAGATATCATTAATGTAGAGGTCTGTATAACATGCTTCATAAATGAAAGGTATGTGAATTTTACCCCTCCCTAAGGAAAAACTTTGCTCCACCCCTAGAGTCTTTATGGTAAAATTAGAACGGGCTAAATTATTTACTTGGTAGTATGTTGGCATAAAATGCATTGTGAGCCTTCTAATTTGGAAGAATGTAATAAATTCATGTTATTCTTCCAGTTATTTCATGAGGCGTAAATGAGACATAAAACTTGAAGCCTATTGTTTCATGAAGGCATTAACTCATCTACAAATTTTACACCTTGAAGATGGCATAAGTGTCAAGCCTTTAAATCATCAATATAAAGTTATAACCATTTTGTTTTGGCTTGAACCAAAGGAAGTAGGAAAAATTACAAAATAAAATAGACATAGTGTACCAAGAGGAGCCCAAAAAGTGGTAAGATCCACATATTCTAAAAGTTGCAACACTTATCTTTAACAATTTTACAATACTAGGCAACAATTGAATATTGTAATCCTACGATTCAAAATCACTTTTAAAAGACACACACAAGCACACATCATTTAATTGAAAAAAGCAACTCCAATGGCTAATATCTGCCACCATTCCTGACGTCTCCGAGGAGGATGAACAAAACAAACAAAGAACTCATCCTTTTTAGGGCAACATCACTACAAAGTAGTAATATCACCGCTTACTCACATTCTTATGTTCGGTGCTGCAGGAGAAAAATAACAACTTCAAAGAAAAAGTGTCCGAGCTTCCTATGGAAGATTTTTCCTTATCTTCTTGAAGATTAGGAGGTCTTGTTCATGAGTAAAGAAAGCTCAATTTGTGCAGAAAATTCTCACTTCTAAGATCCAACTTTTCTATAGTACGGTTCTTTTTCTCCTTGTGGGAGCTTGGTGGGGGAAGGAGTACTAATATCTTCATCCATCAATCATTGCCGTAATTATCTAATTGAATTTAACATGTTTTTAAAGAAATGAAAAAAGAAAAAAAAAAACTCACAGGCGTTATTAAAAAGTAATAGAAATATCAGATTAAAAAAATTGTGAAAATTTTGTTCCCTACCAATACTGACTTGATGGAACTTCACATGTCCATACATCAATCTTCCTTCTTTTTAATAAGAAACCAAGCTACAATATGTAATAAAAGCTCATATACATCAAACTTCATTGAGTCTTGCAGGGATATCAGACGCTACAATTTAGTTTTTTCAATCCAGCCCTACACAAATATATTTATCCAATTTTTGGGGCATTCAAAATATGACTGAATATGGCATGTGTCGAATGTCAATATCAAGAAAACAAATGTCCTACTTAAATAATAGCCTCTAAAGTTAAATTGTCAATGCTTCATCCATAAAAAATTGCTCGCTCATTGTTTAAAATCATTAAAAAAAATTAAAAAAACCCAAAACGTGAACGCAGCATGTGATATAACTTATGAAGTGAAAAAAACATTACCAACAAATGTGACATAATTAAAAAGTTCTTCGATTAACTTAAACTACACTACATCGTGCTGAAAAGTGTGATATGCTACAGTATAACACAAATATCTCCATTAATACATCAGAAACGTAAATGATTCCTCAGTCAAAATCCGCACTCGTCATCAACTAAACGCCACATTACTACCAAAACATTGAGAGACATAGCCCGCTCCAGAATGCATGAAACCACTCATCGAGAATAAAATTATAAAAAAACAAAAAAAAAAAACAAGAAATTTAAAACTAACAGGCTCAGAGTCGAGTTTAACAGAGGGACCAAAGGAGCCCTCGCCGGATAGAAGTTGCCGCAGCCTCGACGGCAAGCTTGATCTTTGCGTAGTCATCTCACCACGTCTTCTCGACTTTCAACTACTGTAAAAAGAGGGGAAAAAAAAACAAAACAAAAAAAAAATGAAACGATGCAATCAAAATTAAGAATAAAGAGAAACGATACAATCAAACAGAGCAACAGGACCATCAAAAACCCTAACACTGAAGTCAAAATAATTGCAATGGGAGTGACACACAAAATATGGAGTGAATGAGTTAGAGAGAGAAACGAAGAGGAGCCATACCTGAGGAAGAAGATAGAATGAGAACGGAAACGCGCACATCCGAAAATTGGTGAGTGTTGAACAGCAAGAAGCAAATCGATGGGGGGTTTTGAGAGGAAGAGAGAGAGGTGGAAACCGCGAAACGATGGGAGAAAAGGAAGAAGAGAGAGAGAGAGAAGGGGCGGGGTGGGGGTCGCTAGCCTAGCCGCGAGTCGCTGTATTGTTACGTATAAATGTGTATAATTCTGAATAGTGAACCCTTGGAAAAGAAGAAAAGTAGATATATATATATAGGTATATATATATATATATATATATATATCTATATGGTGGGAAGCTGACACCAACTCCTTTCTTCCACAGATCTCCCGTTCATCAGATTTCTCCTTCACTACTTTTCTTCCCCAAATCCGTTTGCTTTTTGCTTTATTGTAACAATAATATTCCAAATAAATCCTTTCATTCTTTAAAAAAAAATTAAATAATTCCTTTTATTACTCGTTGGAAAAGAAAGTTTCTATTTTATTAATACTCATAAACGTACTAATATCATATATTTCATAACTAGTTCAAATTAAAAATAAGTTGCACTAAATTAGGACAGGTTTGAGAGAACTCTAAATTTAAATTGATCACAATGTCGTAAGTGAATTTTAGATTTAAGCATTAATCGTGATTTAAAATAATTTAATGTGAGGTCTCACATTAGGTAAAGAGGAGAACGAAACATTATTTTATAAGGATGTAGAACTCTCTTCCTAATATACTCGTTTTAAAACCATGAGGTTGACGATGACATGTAACGAGTCAAAGCATACAATAGCTACTAGCGGTGGATTTAGAAGGTTACTTGTTTATTTTGTATCGGAGAGTTTCGAGAGATGTTTGTGATTGTGAATTTTGGGCATTGCAACTTATTAGATCAATTGTTATTACGATCTTTCAAATGTTAACCGTTTGTTCACTTTCATATAAAAAGAATAATAATTTACAAATGAATAAGAACAAACACTTTTTAGCAAGAGTGGTTTTAAAAATTTATTATCCGTCAGAAGTATTATTTAAACGAAATTATAATATTTTCATAAAAAAATTGTCAACAATTAAAAAATATATATATATATATTTTAACATTTTTTTAAACACCAATAATATTTTTAATAGCATTTTCATTCAAAAATGAAGCGTTATTTATTTATTTATTTAAAATATTTGGATTATTTTTAAATTTTAGAGATGATATTGAAATAAAACTCGATTAATTGAATTATAAATAAATAGTTAGACATATTTGGAAGCAAAATAAAAAAAATAAAAATAAAAAATTAACTTGATTTAAAAAAATATAAAAGTATATTAAACAGTGATTATTTTAATATATTAAAATGCCGTATAACACCTTCTTACTTTCTTGTAAAATTATTGTATAGCCTAAACAAACGTGGGGGGGCTGAGGAGTTGGCACGTGCACAAAGTTGCTACATGCGGTGGCTCTGTCCCTGCTCATAAGATGTAACCATAGCCCCATTCCATGCGTGCATAAACCATGGACGAGATAAGAGCTTCAACGCCGCCGCTGCAAGACGACGGAGCAGGGAGGTTTTCTGGCTGGAAAGAAGAAGCGTCGGTGATGGATCGCGTTAAGAAGGGGTGCATGGCCGTTTATGCGTCTTCTCAAGAGGCACTGCGTTATGTCAAAGCTTTTTTCGTTGGCTGGGTTAGTTAGTTCTGTTACTTTTTTGAATTAGGATTATTTGAACTCTCGAAACTGTATTAACGGAAAATGAAGTTTGGCAGGGGAAGAAGATGACGGCGAAGAGCGAGAAGGAAGCGGCGGAAGCAGATTTGAAGATGGCTAAAATGCAGGTTGAAGCTACTGAGGCCGCAGAGAACACCAAGAAGGGAACTTAATTTGCGCATAATATTCTAGAATGAATCATCAAAAGTTTAGCCCTCCCCCTTGTAACCATTTCGTCTTACAATTTTTCAAATTTTTGTAAATTTTTTATAAATGCTAGGTTCATATTTCATTATATGTATGGTATATTTCCTATTTGATCGGTTTGAATTCGAATTCTATATTTCGAGTTGCGATGGGATCTATTCCTTCTATATCCAATTTAAATCATTGGATCAATCTTATATTAAATGACTGCTTGTCTACGTTGCCAGCAAAAACCTTTTAGGTTAGAGAAACCAAATGTGATCTCCCACATTGGTTGAGATGGAGAACGAAACACTTTTTTCTAGAGAACTCAGGAAAGTCTATCTGAGAGTTTCGAAAAATTATATTTTTCGATTCATTTTCGATACCAAATTCTAACATTTTCCATCCATTAGATCCATATGCCAACATGTATCCTTAACAGCTAGATGGATCCTTCTCCCTACCGAGTTCTAATGTTTCTCATCCATTCTCCCTACCCGATTTAACAACTAAATGGAGGTTGGCTTCCCAACAAAAACTTATACAAATATTATACATTTCGTAAATGGGATTTCATAGTTCATAATTGCTTTCGAAGAGGGAATGAATCTAAAAATAGTGAATAAAGAAGAAAGAAAAAACAGAGCATGGTGATGGGGCAATAAAGGAGCAGTATTATGAGAAGGGAATGTTATTACAAACCATGGGCGGAGGACGGAGGCGGAGGAGCTTCCAGACGAATATAGTCGTACATAATGGCTTGGAAAGGGCTGGTGCTTCTCGGCTGCGTGAAGAAGATGGTGTTGTCGCCGGAGACCAGCCGGTTTCCCGGAATATTCACGTTGTAGAGCCAGTACAGGCCGTGAATGCCGTGTCTAGCGATCGAATTGTCCCTTCCGATTAGCCCACTTGAGAACAACGGCTTTGCTTTCGGGTCATTTACTCCAACCTTCAAAACATCAAACTTTCGTCTCAATAATTAATGGTTGGAAACTCTGCAAAAGTTGAACAAATTTTAATTTTGTAAACCTGCAATTCCACGATAGAAGCGGAGGCCAGTGCGACCCGAAGCTTGTAAGTTGCTTGGCTATCCACGTTGTCCAGCTCGAACTTCACCTGCCATGTTGTTCCCTTGAATGTACCGTTTTCTGTTTTCCTGTAGATCAACAGAAGCTGTTTGTATTCTTTTCTTCTTCTTGGCAGTGGTTAATATACGTTAATACATATAATTAGATACAACTTTGATTGATCTTTCACTGCTCAATTTGGTTTCATATATAGCCGCCTGCTTTCAACTCAAATCTGATACTCTAAGCGACTTGTTCTCTCATATTGTTAAATGTTCGTGATATCGTTGATTTGGACTTCATGAAACGACTCAGTTTTTAGAAGACAACAACTGCAACAACCCATGTGAGATCCACATCGGTTGGGGTTGGGGAGGATAAATATTACACAATTGCACTAAATTCTGAAATAAATATTACACAATCTGCCAATGAGGAGGCTGAACCCCGAAGAAGGGTGGACACACGATGGTGTGCCAACAAGGGTTTAGACTTTGGGCCTCAAAGGGGGTGGATTGGGGGTAGACACGAGACGGTGTACCAGTAATGACACTGAGCCTCGAATGGGGGTGGATTGAGGGTCCCACATCGATTAAAGAAGGGAACGAGGGCCAGCGAGAACACTGAGATCGGAGGTGGATTGTGAGATCCCACATCGGTTAGGGAGAAGAATGAAACATTCTTTATAATGGGCTGTAAACCTCTCCCTAACATACGCAAAAAAGACAATATCTACTAGTGGTACGCTTGGGCGGTTACAATTTATCAATCTCAAAATTTGAGTTTCTAGAGTTAGAAAAAGACAACATTTAATATAGTTTAATTATTTTTCGAGACCAGACGAGTTTGATATCTCCAGCACCTTTTAGACGAGAAAGAAGAAGCACACCTGGTAACCTGAGCAAAGAACCAGTCCTTGGTATAATCACTGACGCCGACGGTATACACCAAGTCTGCATCGGGATACAATTCGCTGTACCTTTCCCACAGACCGTATTGTCGAAACCTGATAAATCAACTAGCAACTTTGAGAATCAATCGAAGGGATTAATGAATAATTACGGCAAGAAGATTGATTTACTTATCGGGATGATTAAGATAGAGCTTATTGACGTAGTTGGGATTGGGATCTGGAACATAGAACTCTGCTGCTGAGCGATCCGGGACTCCAATTTCCCACAGGGTCGCCCCTGCTCTTGGAGGCTCGTATATTATCTCATCAACGTCTATCTGACTACCTATATTCTCGCACGTATAGAATTAATTATTAGGAATCACGGATCTTCACTAGTATGATATTGTCCACTTTGAACATAAGCTCTCACGATTTTACTATGGATTTTCTAAAAAAAAAAAAAAAAAAAATCATACTAATGGAGATATATTCCTTCCTTATAAACCCACGATCATTTCTTAAATTAGCCAACATGAAAATCCTCCAACCATCTCTAACATTAATTGGAATCAATTGATTGTTGAATCATAGTAAGAAAATAAGAACCTTCTATTATGTTGATGATAGAATCGTAACGATAATCTCCAATGAAACCGGGGACCCATGCATATAAATTGTAGTCGCCAGGCCTTACGTGGTCGATGAAAAAGTATCCATCTTCATCTGCTCTGCTCCAAAATTGGTAACCCTGATAATATTTAAACGATGAATTAAATATATATTCTTCATATTTTCTTTCAAAATATGAATGTCTACCTTGCTCTCTCTTTGCCATGAACCTACGTCTCCTGGTGGAGCTAAGCCAACAAACGCACCGTTTGCTGGAATGTAGTCTTCACTAACGTAGCTAGATCATGTCATTTACTTTAACTAATCAATTTTGGATTAAGAACTAAAAATTCAACAAAAATCTGTTAAAAATGAAAAATATAAATAGAATCCAAAATAAGATATTCATTAATGTTTCCACCATTTTAGTAAGATACAACTATACAAGCAACCTACGTGCTTGTATCAGTTACCTACATGTAAGGATACAAGTTACCAATTAACTTATATACCATCCATTCTTAAAAATAAAATATACTACCAATAAAATATATTTCGCGAATATTTTTATTTCTTAAATTAAATTTCATAATAAAATTCAATGAGAAATGTGTACCTATCTTTGACTAATAGTCTGCCACTGATATTACCCCGTTGGTTTGACTTTGGAAAATCCTCCGAAGCAGGGAAGCTGTATGGCCAACTTTGGACTTCAATCGATGCCTTGTTGTAGGGAAGAAATTAGTCTTCGATTGAACAATAATTTAGTTTTAAATACAAATTTGCTCTTTAAACTATTAAAGTCTATGTAATTTGTTATGGACTAAATAGGTACGATAGACAACCACAAATACACTCTCCTAGCAATTTTCAACGAAAATGAAGAGTTAAAAGAGAAAACCTGTGATTTGCCATCTTCCCAGAGCTGAAATGCGTCGCTAAAATCGTAAGTGGAGTTGAGATAGATAAACACAGGACCGAAGACTTTCTTCCACGCCTCGCCGGCTCCGATTTTCGGCACCAGATCCTCTCCCGTGTAATGGGCACTAATAAAAACCTGATTCAATACGGTCGTTTTTGGCTTAGGCTCTGGCTTCTGATGCGCACAAACATTAAAGTCATGAATGGAGGCAACAAGAAAAATCGCTTACAGCAAGAGATGTCGGGCCGACGTGCGAAGTCAGGTTCTGTTTAACGGGTCCACCGGAACGGCACTCATTGCTGGGGGTGATTAGCCAGAACCCGATTGGCGGGTCAGTGGATATCCATCCATGGACGCCGCTATCTTTGTTATCGCATGAATATTGATACTTGTCATCCACCTTTACAGTACACAACCATGAGAAGAAGAATCAGAACACATTTACGTTTCCACGACTCTGGTTTTTCCCATTAGTTTAATAAAATTTCGTTCTTCCAAGCTAAGTAAGAGAAGGTATTAAGTTAAATTTAGGCTCTTTGGGTTTTGTGATTCTCGGGAGGGAGTCCCATTGGCTAATTTAGGGAGTATGATTTTAGGTTTATAAAAAAAGAATACATTTTGGTTGTTATGAAGATTTATGGGGAAACCAATCGCAAATTGTAAGAGTCTATACTCAAAATGGACAATCACGGTGGTGTAGGTTCGTAGTTCCTAACAAAAATAAAATTTAATTAGAATAGATTCAATAATGAACCTCTCCCTGAAGCTCGGATTCAATGGGGTCGACGAGCAGGACAGCCTCTGGATAGGCCAGAGCTCGGCCTCTCGGTGGTGACCGGTCATCTGGAAGTGGCATGGATCTCTGTCTGTTGTCTGCCATGGCCATATAATGGAACCTACAAAAGATTGTCCAGAATAACTATAAAGTCCACAAGAACACTTTAAAGTAAACATTCAGTGGAATATTATTGAGAATTTCGTACTTGTCTTTTCTGAGTTTGAAGGCGAGTCTGGTTTCACCAAGGTTGAAACCAGGCCATTCTTTCAAGTGTTGGTAAATAGCATACGAATAGAATCCAGACGAACCCCGAAGCATTATAAACCTACATAGCTTCAAATCCATTCATCAGAAAGAAGTTTGCAATTTAATAATCAAGATCTGAATCAATCTCAACCTTTTATCGATCTCTAACGGCACAAGCTTTCCCTCGAGAGACAGATCCCATTTTCTCGTAAAGGAGAGCTCCACTTGGTCTTCATTTTCCACTATAACCTCAAAATCTGTAGCCTTTATCCTACAAAGCAAATTTGGTTAACTCAAAATATACAACCAAAGAACTGCGGGCCAGAAGATCAGCAAGAAAGGCAAGTTGGTGAGCAAAAAAGCAGAATACATACACATCAAACGATCCAGTTGCAGAGGCTGATGGATTCCACACGAGGTCCCAGTACCTGCATGCATGGAACATGTCCTTAGGTTGCATATATTTTTGAATCAACGAAACATTGGTCAAATTAACAAGCCAATAGGAACACCTACTGACTTATATGAAGCAAGTTTTTCGTTCATAATATACCCTCTGTTAGATTCGTCATTGAGAACTTCGAGCAAGTTGT